CCCCTTACCAGACGCCCTGGAAAAGATGTGCCTAAAACCTGAGGCAGACAGCACGTAGGGTTTCAGAACTCGGGGGTAGGGAGCACGACTTTCTGCAAAGCGGGAGGAGGACTTGCAGAGAGATGGGGCTGTTCTGTACATTTATTTTAGTTGGTGAATTTGTGATTATGCTGTCAAAACATGTCGAACTGTACGTTAGAGTGCATTTAGCAGCATTTGGTGTTCTGGGAAATTAAAACATAAATACCAAAAGAGTGGCTGTTGCTGTTTTAAATAGGGCCGTCCTGAAAGGACTTGGCAGCAAGCACTTCGTGCGGCTGTTTGAGAACAAAGAAACTCCGGCAGAGAGATCTCAGTTTGCTTAGGCAGTGTCCGAGTAGTCCTATTTGGTTTTAAGGAGAATACGTTTGTGAAACAGAAGTACTTTTCCCAAATACATAATCTGTGATCTGACATCCACAAAGCTAAGGCTTTTGGAAATCTTTCCTTTTCCTTTGTGTGTAAGAACGTTTCAGAGGGGCGCAGTGCCCTCTCCACGGCGCCTTGTCATCCGCTCGCACCTTGCAGCAGGAGGCGCGACTCCTGCTTCTGTTTCTAGCCGCCGCGCCCCTGCCAGTGCCCCCACCCGAGTCGCGGCGTCGGGAGCGGACGCGCACCCACCACAGTCAGGCTTGGCACACGTGGCACCCCTCCACATGCCAGCTGCTCGCTGCACAGGGCGGGATGCTGGCTTGAAGGATACTTCCACAGCCCCCAGCTCGGGTCGCACACACGTTCCCTGCTCTTTAGAGATATAAAATTCAGGGTTGCGTTATTCCTGTTCTAAAATCTCACCGTTCCCTTTACTAGAAAGACTCCAAGTAGCGATTTCCTTGTTAGTCTTAGTGCTGCCGCCACCTTCAACCTTGACTTCATGTAGTTGGGGAGTATTCAGGAAACCTAGGATCTATTCCTCTAAACGCTCTTAATAATTGTAAGTATTTCAGTGCTGTCAGATAAGGAGCCCAGTCACAGCGGATCTGTCACTTAGAACTTCCCAAGCCCTGGGCGCAGACGTCCCTGCTCTGGCAGCCTCTCTCCGTCTCTTAATTGCATCTTCGGGTTTCAGCTTTTGACTCAGTAGATCCAGTAAACTTTTGGCAGGTCCAGGACATCTAAATGTTATTTCATTACGTTTCCAGTATTACTCCCCTCTGTCCCTTGATATTCTGCTCCCATAACACAAAGAACAAAGAAATCACCATTTGAAAACAGTTTTTGCTTTCTTACATAAAACCAGTTGGTTTAACTTCTGTTAACGTCAGAGAGAGAGCATACAAGCCGGGGGAGCAGCAGGCCCCTCCCTGAGCAAGAAGCCTGGTGCGGGACCCAGTCCTGGGACTGTGGGATCAGGACCTGAGCCAAAGTCAGATGCTTAACCAGCTGAACCACCCCGAGGTCCCAGTTGGTTCAAGTCTTATTATGGACCTACTTTTATCAAAATAGAACTGATTCCTCCCCTCTGATTTAGGGTCAGTTACTAATGCCAGCTAAGGACCATGCCGCCCATGTCTTAACATCTTGGGGCACTTTTTTTTTTTTAATATTTTATTTATTTATTTGACAGAGATCACAAGTAGGCAGAGAGACAGGCAGAGAGAGAGGGAGCCCGATGCGGGGCTCCATCCCAGGACCCTGGGACCATGACCTGAGGCGAAGGCAGAGGCTTTAACCCACCGAGCCACCCAGGTGCCCCTCTCTTTTTTTATATAGATTTTTTTTTTTTTTTATTTGACAGAGATCACAAGTAGGCAGAGATTCAGGCGGGAGGGTGGGGTGGTGAGCAGGCTCCCTGCTGAGTAGGGAGCTCCATCCCAGGACCCTGGGATCATGACCTGAGCCGAAGGCAGAGGCTTTAACCCACTGAGCCACCCAGGCGCCCCACAACTAAACCTTTAAGATAAAAATTTTTGAGGAGCATTTTTTTCTCTCACTCAATTACCTCAATTCCTATGTAGCTCTCCACTCATTCAAGTTTGGTTTGTTAGCCTCACAACTCCATGGTCACTAGCTAACTCCTGAATCCAATGGTGACTTCTAAGATTTTGTGTAAAGTTCCTCTCAGAAGGTTTTACCACAATTGACGTTTTTTATTCCTGATTTCTTTTCCTCTCCCATCTTTCCCTTGCCCGTTAGTCATTTCTGAATTCTCAGACTGCACGTTCATTTCTGATCTCACGCGGTGTCATGACCATAAATAGCGTACCGCATAAACACTAGAAAACTTCCAGATCTGTATCTGTCACAGACCCCCACATGTTCAAAAATTTCTCTTGCACTTCCTTGCAGTCCTTCCCTGGCCCTGGCCTTCCCAATTTCAGCCAGTGCTAACTCCATCTTTCTACTTGCCGAGGCAGGCCAAAAATCTAAATGTCATGTTTCATGCATGCGTTCTTTAAAAAAAAAAAAGGCAAACTAACTTGATTGTATTTAACATACAGTGGTGCACTAATTCAGTGTTGTACTAGTTTCGGGCGTGCAGTGTGGTCACTCGGCGATTCTGTACATTGTGCAGTGCTCACCGTGATAGCCCGTGTGGTACCGTACCGCCTGTCGCCGCACACTCCTGCAGTACCGCTGACTATTTGTTTTTATTAAACGGTTATTTTAGGGGGTCCTCAGGGGGGCAGATGTCTCAAGTAGACTCCTCGCTCAGTGCAGAGCCCTTTGGGCTTGATCTCAGGACCGTAATCAAGAGTCACTTAACCGAGTGAACCCCCTGGGCGCCCCCACATTGATTGTTTCCGGATGCTCTACCTTTCATCCCCATGACTTCTCATTCCATAACTGGAAGCCTGTAGCTCCCACTCCCCTTCACCCATTTTGCCTGTTTCTCCAGAGCCCGTTTTCTTTACGTTAAGATGATACTTGGGGACAGTAGATCTGTAAAGGTGTGCTGATAAAGGAATGGACACCGCTAAGTAGATACATACATCAGAAAACTTTGGTTTTATTTTGTTTTCATTTTTGTTTAGTGAGAAGAGAGCATAAGCAGAGGGAGAGAGAGAGAATCTTAAGCAGGCCCCATGCTCACAGGGAGCTCAGTCTCCTGACCCCCACGACATCAAGAGTTGGACATGCAACTGACTGAGCCGCCCAGGTGCCTCACAACATCGTTAGTGAAATGTTCTCTATCATTCAGTGGTTAATAGGAGTTATATCATTAAATTTAAAATTAACCTCTCTCGGGGCACCTGGGTGGCTCATACGGTTCAGTGATATGGTTAAGTGTCTGCCTTTAGCTCGGGTCATGATTTCTGGGTCCTGGGATCGAGCCCCATACCGGGCTCCCTGCTCTGTGGAGAGTCTACTTCCCCTCTCTCTCTGCCTTCCCCGCCCCCTGACTTGTGCACTCACTTTTTCTCTCAAATGAATAAATGTTAAAATCTTTAAAAAATTAACTTTGGTTAGAACCTGAGGTTTGATGCACAGTAATATTTTATTTTTAGCTGAAGTATAGATTCACAGGAAGTTGCATAAATAGTATGAAAGTCCCATGTTCCCTTCACCCTGCCTCTCCAAATGACGTCTTAGACAGCTGTAGATCTTACTCAGGTGTCGCCATTTTTAACCGCACGTGTGTATTACAGTAATTTGCCCGTACGTAGAGACTCCCATCACCACCAGTGCAGTCAAGATAGAAAACTGGCCTGTGACCCCCAAAACTTCCTCCTGCTGTTTGCACTCACACCAGCTTACCCTCCATCCCATCCCTGTCCTCGGAAACGCACTGATCCGTTCTCCATCTCTGTAGTTTCATGAACTGCACATGAACGTGGGTTTCCGATGAAACCGAACATGCGAGAGATCCGTCCCGCTCCGTGCGTGTGTCAGTCATTCACTCCTTACTACCGCTGAGTAGTGTTCCGTTGTACGGCTGCTAAAGAATTTATTCAGTTACTCATCTGTTGAAGTTTGTTCCTAGTGTTGTGCTATATAATGAGTAGATGCTGTGAACATTGATTTGTGAATATAAGCCTCTTTTTTATTCTTAGGAATTTTATTTCAAAATACGTAATCGTAAATATATGAAAGAAATTTCATCCTGTTTACTCCACTTTTCCCCCCTCCCCTCTTAATTGGATACCATTCTTCTAAGCTTTAAAAAAAATCTAGTATATAACCACACAGATTGATTTTCCATACAATTTTATCTTTTTTAATTTTTTTAAAGATTTTATATATTTATTTGACAGAGAGATCACAAGCAGGCAGAGCTGCAGGCAGAGAGAGGGGGGGAAGCAGGCTCCCTGCTGAGCAGAGAGCCCAATGTGGGCCTCGATCCCAGGACCCCGAGACCATGAGCAGAGCCGAAGGCAGAGGTCCAACCCACTGAGCCACCCAGGCGCCCTTCCATACAGTTACAGCTAATTACAGATGGCATTCTGATATTTTAATACAAGATTATGACCTGAAGTTTCAGCAGCAGAGAAAGTTCATTGATCCTGTCCACAGCAACCTACTGCTCTGTGAGGATTTATTCAATTCCCAATTGATAGATACTAGTTTGAGACTGTGATGATAATTCTACATGAAATAGCTCTGCAATTATGAAAGACTTGCTGTTATGATTATTAAATTGAAACTGTTATCTGAATGAAGAAGTTTTCTGGTACAACGACTTTGTCACTGAAATCAGCCTTTAGCATGCTAAGTTGATAAGGTAGATAAGGTAGTTTCAGCTAACTTAGGTCCGAATGTTGTCTTTCCCACTTAGACTAGAGTTGGGATCCTTGGAAATTCCTCACCCTTTTCTTCAGACATTCCTATGAGAGCGCCAGTTTCGTTGAGAAGCAGAAACCTAAGTGTTGGGGGAAATGTATGCATTTTCCCTGGGCTGTTGCAGACAAATTGAGAAGCTTAGGAGGTGTAGAAAACTGACAGCATCTATGATGTTGATGTGTCGTGTGCTTGAGCCTCATGGTCTGGGCTTGACTCCACACTGTCCTTGTCCTTGACAGATACATGCAGAGGGGTCAGTACCTTCTCAGCAGTGACTCTGTTCCTGTGAAGCCAGAGCCATAGGCACCATCCTGATCCTGGTGAGTATGTTTGACTCTTTTCACTCATTCAACTAATATTTTGTCCTTTTAGATAACCCCGATACCCTGATTATGAATCCAAGCTCTCGGCTCACAAACATCTGCCTTCCTGTTTCTCAACGTGTCCACATTTCCTCTCTTTGACTTCATTAGCAGTGACCGACAAAACATCTTTTTCCCAACAGAGTCTTTGGGCTCTAAGTTCTCTCTAGAACACACAATTATTTAGTAACACTTTAAAAAATCCTTATAGTCTCATAAGCTATGCCAGTGAATCTGCTGGGAATTTTGCATTCTGTGTTCAGTAGCAGTTGTAGGATACAAAAGGCCGTTCTGTAAGCAATTATTCAAAGGGAATTTCATGAAAATGTCATGTATGGCTTTTTGAGGTTTGGGGAGTTTGACAGTAGAAATCCAGTGCTGATTTGAATGAAAACACTGGGTGAAAATGTTGCATGTGAGGGGACAGTGTGGGTGGACTGCGATGACTATGAATGTCTACAGTGTCTAAACGGCATTTTTCATCTGTTGCTGTGAATGATGGAGGAAAGATTACATTTATTGTGCAGGGACCTCTTTCCCTTTACACTCTGAGCAGAAGAGAGAATGTGGTTTTGCATAGTTGGATCTCAGTTCCAACTGTCCGGGTTCTGAGGGGGGGGAGGTTGTCAAGACTCCTTTTCTAAGAAGTTGCTGCATTTGCCCGATAATGGATGCTCCAGGAAGGCTCCTTTCTTCCCGTGCTGCTGCTTACGCCCGAGGGGCATGTTGTAGTCCCATCTCCAGCAACACAAGAGGCGTGGGTTTGGTTCTACACCTGCGATAAAGCAAGTCCAACGAAGTGTTTGGTTTCCCAGGACATATATAAGAGAAGTTATGTTTACACTGTAGTCTTTTAAGTGTACAAAAATCATTAGGCCTTATTTAAAAAAAAAAAAACCCTAACCAATATACAGACCTTAATTAAGAAATACGTTCTTGCTAAGAAAACACTCAACTGAGCTTTCAGCAAGTCTTAATCATTTTGTTTGTGGCTCAGGGTGGCTGTGGCAGTTTCTTCAGACAATGAAGTTTACCCTACAGTTGACTCCCCCCTCTTACAAAACATTCACCATAGACCTTCTTTATCACTGGTCACTTTGGCAGTCTTCGGGCATCTTTACCGGGAGTAGTTCCACCTCAGGCAACCCGAAGCAATGCCTTTCTCTGGTCTTCCATTCAGGTTCTTTCATGAGATTGTACTGTGCAGCCTTTCGGTCACACCTTCTCTACTTCTGATTCTCTGCAGCTACTGGTACTTCTTCTAAGTCCCCACAGAGTCATCCGTGAAGGTTGGAATCAACCTCTTCCAAACTCCTGTTCATACTGGACTCTGCTGCCCATGAATGGCTACTGGAATGAAATTCCAGAAGGTTTTCACTTTACTTCTGTGGACTTACAAATTGTATTTTTCATAAGCAATAAGACTTGAAAATCAAAATTCCTTCTTGATCCATGGGCTACGGGGCTCTTGCGTGGCCAGGTATATTGCCGACAAGTGAGCAGTAGGTCTCAGTCAGTAAACCAGGTTGTAAACACGGTGTCTCCAGCCGGCTTTGTTGTTCCAGAGATTCAGCCCAATTGGTAAGGGTCCTAGGACGTCCAGAATGATACAGGAACGCTGGCCCCCGCCAAGAGAGTTGGCCTGTCCTTTGAAGCCAGGCTCGACCTCTCTAGCTCTGAAAGCGCTAGATGCAGGGCGTCTTCCCATCGCAGGCTGTTTTGTCTGCCTTGGAAATCTGTGGTATGCCCTGAGCTCGATCTTCTGGATCACTCGCCGCAGCTTCTGTGTCAGCACTTTGTCCGTTGTGCTGTGATGGTGTGGAGATGGCTGCTTTCCCTCAGCCGGTCTTCTGCAGACTCCTCACCTCTCTGCAGACTCCTCACTTCTCTTCAGCCTTTCTAGAAGTGGAGACAGTTAGGCCTTGCTCTGGATTAGGTTTTGGCTTAAGGAGTGTTGGGGCTGCTTTGATCTTCTTTGCAGACCACTAGAACTTTCTATCAGTAGTCAGGCTGTTTTACTTTCGTACCGTTTGTGTGTTCCCTGGAGTGGCACTTTTAATTTTCTTCAAAGACTGGTTTTTTGCACTCACAACTGGGCTCCATTCAGCCAGCTGTTGGGCTCAAGAGGCCTAGCTCGGCTTTCAACATACCTTCCTGGTGAAAATGTCCATGACACTTCCTCTCACAATGCATAGTTGTACTCCTGTTATTAGTAGACATAATTTCCGTATTTTGGGATGTCAGGAAGCTTGAAGGTGGAGCAGTCAGAACAGATACCAGTATTTATAAATTCTAGATGGCTCTTTGGATAGCGGTTCATCACCTGGAACTGTCAAACCTGTAAATTTTTCCACAAGAGACTTATAAGCTTTAGAACCCAAAAAATCTTGGTGCACTTAGTGTTTTTTCCCTCCCAGAATGTAGTTGTTTTGGGAATGTTCTTCACACACTTGTGGGAGGGCTTGTCTTTACATGGCATTTCCACTGAGAAGCTCTTAGCATCCTTGACGCCCTGTCATTCATATACACACAGATTAGGGACGCTCTTTGGCACCTCAGTTCAGGAGTATGTTTTCATCTCTTTAACGCCCCTAGCCAGATAAAATAACAGTTTTACTTGCTGCTTCAATTCCATGGCACTCAGTAGCTCAGAACTACCCCCGCAGCGGTGAGCAGGTCCCACACGGAGCCTGGGAAGCCAGAGAGCACAGTTACGAATCTCTAACGGGATGTGGTCTTGGTTTGGAGCTTTACACCTTTTATAACCCACATCTCTTAACAACCTGAGCATTTGCAAAGTCTGGAGAGAGCCCTGAAGTGAGAATTGGGTTTCAGAAGCTTTAGATCCCTTTCATTTTCCTCAAGGGGTCTCCCTCAGACTCCTTCTGTGAGTGACTTCAAAACTGGACCAAAGACCAGAATCCATGGCTTTCCAGCGTTGGACAAAAGCATGCCATGGGCAGTGAGCCTGGAGAAAACAGAAGTGTAGGAGATGAGGTTGCCTTCTTCCCAGCGTTCTCCGCCCCCCCCCCCCCCCCCCGCCACTGCCCACCGCCACGTCAGACACAGTTGTGATTCTGAGTGACTCTGGAACACTAGGTCTGTGTGCATTTGTGAGCTTTGGGGACAGCGGGAGTAGTCCATGTAGCCTCTGGGAGCGTGCTGTCGGGGAGTCTAAAACCACATCGGTGTTGAACATTCAGGGGATCGTCGCGACTCCCCAGGAATCCGGGCACAGCGCCCCTTGCAGAGCAGCTGCGGCTGTGTTCCAGGAGGTTCTGACGCGTGGCGCCCCTGCAGAGGCCTGTGGAGCGCTGAGAACTGCATTGCCCGGAGGACCCTGCGCCCAGCGACGCCAGCGTGGAGCCAATGAAGGTCCAGGAGACGGGCTGTTCGCTGTTCGGCAGGTCCAGAGCGCAGGGTCAGGCCGAGGTGATTGGGGAAGCACTAGAGGAGGCGTCCCCGTGGCCCTGGGCCGCCCCCAGTCCCGCTCTTCCCACGGAGTCCCATGGCGGCAGCTGCGCCCGCGGACCCGGCTCAGGTAAACGCTGTCCCCTGGGCCTGAACTCGGCACCTGCTTACGTCCCTGCAGCCTGGGCCCCTTCCGGTCTGCCCCTCGAGCAGAGCGCGAGGCGGAGTCACGGGGCAGGTCCGAGCGGGAGCTCCGAGGGCCCCACCTCTACAGGTGATGCACTTTGGAACCAAACCTGTAAGGACGCCAGCCTGGGGGTTACCGGTGGAGGCGGCGGCTGAGCTGTGGGCCACGCAGGCGTCCTTCCCTTGTCAGGCTCGTAGCTACAGAAAGTGGGAGGGTTGGGGTGGAGGCTACAGAGATGTAAATCACAGCCCCAGAAGCCGGAGAAACGGTTGGTCTTTAAATCCCTTTTTAAAGTAGAACCAGATTCTCTATTGGGAAGAGTGAGGTAGAGAACAGGCTGAGCCCTGGGGAGGCACTCGGGGGGCGGAGGTGAGGGGTTGCGCCTCAGGTGCCTGCGGGAACTTCAGGTACTGAGTCTAGTCCTGCCTTGGGCCTCTCACATGCAGGTAAGGGACAGGAGAAGGACACTGGTTTGTGGCATCCGTACCTGGAGCCTGGTAGAGGAGCTTAATTTAAGGGCAGAGGTCGTGAGCTGGTAATTACTAGTTCCTAGTGTCTGGATATTAAAAGGAGGTTTTTCGTGGAGGCTCTAGTCCAGTATGAGTAGTGTCCTCGAACCCAGAAGACTAAAGGCTGCCCTAGGAAGCGGGGTTCCTCTTGCTGAGCACTCATGATGCCAGCAGCTATAAAATGGGGGGTGGGAGCTGATGGGTATTAGGGACTTAGGAGCAGCGGTTGGACCTGGTGGCTACACTGGGGAGGATTTTAGGGACAGTGCCTGGTTGGGGGCTGGTGCAGCCTTGCAGACCTAGGGAGAAGTGACACCAAGGCTTGCCTGTTTGTGGTTTCATCTCTCCCCCTCATGGCAGGGTAGTGTGACCTTCGAAGACGTGGTTGTGTACTTCTCCTGGGAAGAGTGGGGGCTCCTTGACGAGACACAGAGATGCCTGTACCATGATGTGATGCTGGAGAACTTCGCACTCGTGATCTCACTAGGTAAGACTTCCCACCTGCCCCGGCTTGACATTTTTTCTCACATTTGGATTGTGGGCAGAGACCTCACCGGGGCCGGGCCAGCTCTGTCCAGACCCAGCACGCACTCAGGTTTTCTCCCTCCTCCTCGTTGGGGCCACAGTTATGTGGAAGACCAGAGGCTCATCTTACGAGATGTTCCTGCGTGGATCTGCAACATGGTATTGTTTTGGGCCACGCACGGACTTGCTCGTCCTTCTCCCAGCCACTTCAGCTGGGGATTAGAGGGGTTGTCCAGGGTGCTCAGGCCCGAACCCACCCCTCCTTCCTGCACCACTCCTCCCCCCAGTCTCTCCAGTGGCATCTGGTCCCTTGCAGCCCACTGGGGGGCAGAGGGGTGAATTAGAGGCCGTGCTCCTTCCGATTGTGACTTGAGTCCCAGGGCTCCGGCCTGTTTTATCAGCCTGACCTGGGGAATAACAGGAGCTTCTCCCCCACGTTTCTTTGCTTTCAGGTTGTTGGTACGGAATGGAGGAGGAGGAGGAGGCCCTTTCGGTGCAGCAGGTGTCCATGGGCAGGACTTCAAGTCCAGCTCCGTCCGTGTGGAGAGCTCAGCCCTGTGACAAGTGTGTCTTGCTTGGGAGAGACATTTTGTACCTGGGTGAGGACCAAGGAGCACATCGTGGGCAGAACTACATCTGCGAGGCATGTGGGAAACTGTGGTTGGACGCAAATCTTCAGCCCCAGAAGCACAGTGAGGAGAAGCCATTCAGATGGGACATGGAGCTTGTGACAAGGTACAAACTGCACGTGTCAGGGAAGCCTTTCCCCTGTGGGGGAGTTGGGAAGGACTTCCTGGCCATCGTGAGCCTTCTCCGGCACCAGGCCACTCTCAAAGGAGCCGAGCCTCACAGCAGCTTTGAACATGGGGACTCCTTTCAGGGTAGAAAAAGTCCACCCGAGTACAGCGACCACGGGAAGTCCTTTAGCTATGACTGTAAACTTTTCCAGCATCAGCAACTGCACCCCAGAGAAAGTTACCACGACTGGGATAACTGTGAGAAGCCTTTTAACCAAAGCTCCATCCTTAGTCACTGCCCGAGAGCTTACCCAGAAACGAGGTCTTACGAGTGTAACGAATGTGGGAAATCCTTCAGCCAAAGCTACAACCTCATTCAGCACCACAGGATTCACACTGGCGCCCGGCCTTACAAGTGCAGCGAATGCGGAAAAGCCTTCAGCTTCAAGTTCAGACTCGTCCAGCACCTGCAGATTCACACTCGCGTGAGGCCTTACGCCTGTGGCGAATGCGGAAAAGCCTTCAGCTACAGCTCGACCCTCATCAAACACCAGAGAGTACACACGCGAGAAAAGCCTTACAAGTGTGGGGAGTGTGGGAATTCCTTCAGCCAAAGCTCCAACCTCATCCAGCACCAGAAGATCCACAGCGGAGCGAGGCCCTACAAGTGCAACGAATGTGCCAAGTCCTTCAGCTACAAGTGCAAGCTCGTTCAGCACCTGCGCATTCACACCGGGGAGCGGCCTTACGAGTGCGGAGAGTGCGGCAAGTCCTTCAGCCATAGGTCCACGCTCAACCAGCACCAGAGAATTCACACGGGAGCCAGACCTTATAAGTGCGGGGAGTGTGAGAAATCCTTCAGCCAGAAGTCCAACCTCATCCAGCACCGGAGAGTCCACACGGGCGAGAAGCCTTACGAGTGTGGAGAATGTGGGAAGTCCTTCAGCCAAAGCTCCCACATCATTCAACACCGAAAACTTCACACCAGATAACCTCCTGCCTGCAGCTGCGGGGCACAGGCTCACGGGTCTGGCGCTCGGACCAGAGATGTCAGTGCAGCACACGGGGAAGCCGGCTCAAGGCCTAACCTCCTCCTGTGACTCTGGGATTTCATAGAAAGACTCACACTGGGAGGAACGCCCCCCCCCACCAAGTTTGTGGGCCTCTAGGAGCCCTGCCACCTTCCTCAGCATAGAAAACAGGGCAGGTTCTGTGGGCCCTTGGGAGATAGGGGGTGGGGGTAATTACCCAGTCCCCCTTCTTCCTCATTAGGTAGTTTTGACAGCTAAGGGGGGTTTGAAAATCCTGATTCCCTGAGAATAGCCTCTCTTCTCTGTCTCCCCCCCCCCGCCAAGAGTGGTTTATTCTGCAGGGAGGAACGTACTGCAAAGGAATCATGTGCCTTCGACAGGGAGGGTTCAGCTTTTCTGGTGTTCGTGCTTGTAAAAGACGCTCTGGGGGGCCTGATGATGTAGTGAAACCTGCGTCCCCAGGTGAACCTCCACACATCACCTTCCTCCACCTTCTTCATGTAGTTGAGGATCTTTATAAACTCTCTGCAGGATAGGGCTTACAGAGGCAAGAAACAGGTAATAGGATAGAAATTCTGCGGCTGGGATGATGCTCTTCTGCCCAGATTGCTGACCCACAGAGAAGCTATTTGGAAATTCTCACTGATGCACCAGGCAGGATGAGGGGACCCGCTCTCTATTCCATTTTTTAATAAAGCTTTATAAAAGTTAAGGATACTGGTGAACCGCACATATTTAAAATTGTATACAGACTGTAATAAATGGATCTATATGGCTTCTTTCCTTGTGACCTTTTTCAAAGTCCCTCCCCCACCATAAGTTGTTTTTACCAAGGACTATCCCGGAACACTCCAGGATCTGCTCATCTACATTGTTTTATCCATTTTGCTCCCCCTCACTCGACCACCACAAATAAAATGTATGTAAAACAAACACAAACACCTTTTCCCCCCATGTGGGGGGGTTTATTTCGGAAACAGACTTCCAAGACGTCTCAATACTCACTGTATTATGGACAAAATACTCTCTCCTACAATAAAAACTTGAAAAACCATCCCCCCAAAATGAAATTGGGAGACTTGTAAAAAGCAATACATGAAAACACCCCAAAACCTTAAAAAATTGGCACAACCAGGCAACTAAGTGGGCTTGGGTGCCGCATTTTTAAGGTCCAAAAAAACCAAGTCACTAAAGGAAGGCACAAGGCCTACCCCCCCCCACCCTCCCATCCTCACGTGGTTCCAGAGCTTGGGGGGCACCCCCACCGCCCCTTCTGAGCAAAACCCCCCTCACCTCGCTCTCTTGAATAGGGCTTGCTCTAGGTTCCAAGATGGGCCCTGACACATGAGGAGGCCACCCCTGGGCCACCCCCCTTGGCGTCCCAACCAGCCAGGACTGCATCCACACTGCACCCCTGGGCGAGGACGCCCCTTGCGGAGCGGGGCACACACCGGAGCAGGCACGCCTCGGTTCTCTGCCTGCTGGAGGCCCTGGGGCAGGAAGGATTTAAAAGTGCCTTTGTGGCCTCAGCTTCCCGTCTTTCAGCGCGCTCCGCCTGTCCCCCAAACCCCTCGTTTTTCCCTTCGAAGCCTCAGCCCTAAAACATCAGGCGCTTGGGGGCTGCATTGCAGGCAACACCTGGGCTTCACCCGCGACCGACCCGGGGACAAGCCTTCAGCCAAGGCTCCTCCTCCCACCACCCCCTTCTCGCGTCAGCGCGAGTTAACAACTAACGCCTGCCTGGAGCTCACAGCCGTGTCCCTCTGCCACGGGAGGTCAAGCCGCAGTGATCCCCTCCCAGACATTGCACGGTGGGGGGGGCAGCGTGGACGTCCCCTTCATCCCCCACACACCGGAGGACAGGAGGAGAAAGGGACCCGCAGAGGCAGCCACGAGAGGCCGGACACAGTGGTGTCCTGGTTGGGGAGAAAGGACGCGGCCACCCGGGGCCTCTGGAGGCCCGCGCAACCCGCCCCACGCGTCTGCTCACGTACCGACCGACGGGCAGCCCCAGGAACAGACCCCGGGCTGCCACCGCCACGAGTCGCTCCAGCCGGGGGCACACACAGTGCCCCCCTGAGCGAAAGCCCGGGCACGACGCCGTGCCGAGGTAACGGGGCTCCCAGGGAGCAGGTTCACATCCTGCAACTCCCTCCCCTACAAACGGCCGAGGCCGACTCACTCGCAGCTAGAAGGGCAGACACCCCAAGGGCTCCCGCCTCCCTCGGAGCCGCGCGTCGCGGCTGGGCAGCGGGACCGAGAAGGACCAGGCCCCTCCCACCTCCGCGGGACCACTCCGCGGCGACCCGAGGTGGAAAGGGCCCCGCCCAGAAGGTCTAAAGCAGTCAGGGCTAGAGGACCTGGCCGGCCCTTTCCACAGTCCCCCCGCGGCCCCCGCTTCTGGGGGCCGCTCCCGTCCCTCAGGGCACCCGTTTCTTGGCTCTTCACACCACGGAAGGGGCAGGGCTCTGGCGGGAAACCCGGGCGCAAGCCGACCCCGAACAAGGTCGGGGGAAGAGCCAGGCAGGGGAAGAAGGGGGGTATCCAGACACATGGCCAAAGGACGGCGTGGAAGCGAGAGCCTCTCTACGCCGCACCCCTCCCCGCACCGCCCAAGGGCCCCAGCGCTGCCTCCGAGCTCCCACCGCCCTAAAAACCCTCGAACGGGCCACCAGAGGCTGCGGCCCCCTGAGCGGATACACAAAGGGCAGGACTCATGACCCATGTCACCCACCAGGAAAGAGGCCTTCCGCGGCAAGCAAGGGCCCAGCCCGGACCTCCAAAGTTGGCTCAGCCAGTGGAGCCCCAGTAAGCCACCCTATCACCACGTGGGGGTGGTGCTGCGTGCCACACCACTTGCCCCGACAGCTGCCTCTGGGGTCACACACTAGTTCTCATTGCAGCCTCCAGTATCCGCATTAACGGCGTAACTTGCTCCAACAACCCAGCACTCGCAGCGCGCCCCGCCCCCACGCCTGCCTAGCAGCATCCCTCGCCAGAGCCCTATGTTGGTTCTTCTGAAGGACATTTCAGTTGCTTCCAACCAAGTTTTGGCAGTTATAAATAAAGTTGTGGTAAACACTGGTGTGCGGGTTTCTGTGTGAACATAAGTTTCTTACTCATTTGGGTCAGTAATGTGTTGCTGGATCTTGTGGTAAGAGCAGGTATTATTTTGAAAGACACTGCAATGAAGGGCAAGTATCCAAAATCCATAAAGAACTTATCAAACTCAACAACCGAAGAATAAGCCAGTCAAGAGATGGGCAGAAGACATGAACAGACATTTCTCCAAAGACATCCAGATGGCCAAGAGACACGTGAAAAAGTGCTCCACATCACTCGGCATCAGGGAAATACAAATCAAAATCGCAATGAGATCCCACCTCACACCAGTCAGAATGGCTAAAATTAGCAAGTCAGGAAACAACAGATGCTGGGGAGGATACGGGAAAGGGGAGCCTCCTACACTGTTGGGAATGCAAGTTGGTGCAGCCACTCTGGAAAACAGTGTGGAGGTTCCTCAAAAAGTTGAAAATAGGGACGCCTGAGTGGCTTAGTCAAGTGTCTGCCTTCGGCTCAGGTCATGATCCCTTTGCCTCCCACCCCTCTGCTTGTGCTCTCTCTGTTGAAAACAGAGCTACCCTACAACCCAGCAATCGCACTACTAGGTATTTACCTCAAAGATACAAATGTACTGATCCGAAGGGGCACCTGCACCCCAATGTCTATAGCAGCAAAGTCCATAATAGCCACTATGGAAAGAACCTAGATGTCCATCAACAGATGAATGAATAAAGAAGATGTGGACTACACAGCCAACAAAAAATGAAATCTCCCCATTTTCAATGATGTGGGTGGATCTAGAGGGTATTATGCTAAGCGAAATAAGTCAATCAGAGAGGGACAATTGTCGTATCTCACTGATATGTGGAATTTAAGAAAAGAGGATCATAGGTAAAGAGATGAAAAAATAAAACAAAATGAAACCAGAGAGGGAGACAAACCATAGGAGACCATTTATTTATTTTTTTTTAAATCTTATTTATTTGAGAGAGAGACAGCGAGAGTGAGAGCACACACGCGGATGAGAGGGGAGAAGTCAGAGAGAGAAGCAGATTCCCCGCTGAGCAGGGAGCCTGATGTGGGACTCTATCCCAGGACTCCAGAATCATGACCTGAGCCGAAGGCAGTTGCTTAACTGAGTGAGCCACCCAGGTGCCCAGGAGACTCTTAATCATAGAAAACAAGCTGAGGGTTCTTGAAGGGGAAGGAAGGAGGACGGGGTACCTGGGTGATGGACATTTATGGAGGGCATGTGATGTGATAAGCACTGGGTGTTATGTAAGACTGATGAATTACTGATCTCTACCTCCGAAACCAATAATATACTATATGTTAATTAACTGAATTTGAATTTAAAAAGGACACTGCAGGGGCACCTGGGTGGCTCAGTGGGTTAAAGCCTCTGCCTTCGGCTCAGGTCATGATCCCAGAGTCCTGGGATCGAGCCCCGCATCAGACTCTCTGCTCAGCGGGGAGACTGCTTCCTCCTCTCTCTCTACTTGCCTCTCTGCCTACTTGTGATTTCTGTCAAATAAGTAAATGAATAAATAATCTAAAAAAAAAAAGGACACTGCAAATGTTCATATAATTTGTTAAGATGGTATCTGAGAGCACGTTTTCACACTGAAGAATCAAACCAATTCAGGAGGTAGAATTCCAAGATGCCAAAAAGGAAGACGTCGGGGCACCTGGTTGGCTCAGTGGGTTTGAGCCTCTGCTTTGGCTCAGGTCATGGTCTCAGGGTCCTGGGATCGAGCCCCGCATCGGGCTCTCTGCTCAGCAGGGAGCCTGCTTCCCCCACCCCCTCTGCCTGCCTCTCTGCCTGCTTGTGATCTCTCTCTGTCAGATAAATAAAATCTTAAAAAAAAAAAAAAAAGGAAGATGTCATTGAGGGAAAACCATAAGTCAATTGTCTTAGGGTTGCAGCTGGGTCCAAGAACTACACTGACACAAGGCAGATTAACAGGAGAAAAGGGCACAAATTTATTATAACTTTCACAAGACATGGGAGCCCTCCTAAGGTAACAAGGACCCAAAGAAGTGGCAAGACCTAAACCCTTTTATTTTGGGCTGAACAGAGACATGGTTGTGGGAAAGTAAATAAGCTCCATGGAGAAACTAAAGGAAGATAAACATTACTTTTATAACAAAGTCTACACAGAATTTTCTTATTCTGAGCTTCCTGTCCTCGACAAGAATGTCACTCTCTTTCTGGCACAGGGAGGACATTTTCCATGGAAAGGGTGGGATCTCCTGCTTCCAGGAAGGAAAGGGGAGAGGTCAGTGCACCCTCAGGCACCTGTGGTCTCAGGGGCTTTTTTTTTTTTTTTTTTTAATCAATCGATATTCTTGTATCTTTATATCTCAGTCTTTCATTCCAGGTTTGGCTTCTGACAGGAGGAGGGACATATTTTCACGAAGGACACATTTTCCGTAAATGATGAGGTAGGCACAGAGAATCAGATGGGAACAGATTTGTGCATACTTTTGTCTCCTGTGGCAGGCAGATGATTCAGTTCCTGCCAGATGGGACTGCTTCATGATCAGGCAAAGTAGCAGGTGAAAAGAAGGGTAAATCGTGTTAGAAGAACATGGAGAAGGTTGGTTATAACCCAGAGCAACAATTTCACTGGAGGCAGATGAACTTAAATGATTTCCAAACCATGTTGATGGGAGAGTCAGTGCGCAGGCAACTTTGACTCGACAGCGCCACCA